CTGAAAATATGAGATTTTCTTGTAGGTTAACTATATTCTGGAAGGTCTAAGGTCAGCAATGAAAAGAAGGACCAAAAGAATAAGTAAAAAAAAACCCGAAAAGGTAGGAGTAAGAAAAATTAGAAGTAAGACGAAACATAAAAAAAAACTGAACTTACGTATTGGCCGTAATGCATGACGCTGTCGTAATCGTACGGTACGCCATGCGTATTGGTTACAGACTGCGGATATTTTTCGAAGTTGTAATAAAGATGTCCTGGAATGTTCCCTCTGACGATGGTGACATAGTTATCGCGGTCATATCTCGTCTGCTCGTGGTTGAACCCTATCGCGTGTCCCAATTCATGGATGATGATTCCTTTCTAAAAGGCATAATGCATTATGTAATAATCTTATACTTAAAAACATTGGCTGATAAAGTATCGTTTTCTATCTAATGCTACTGACAAAATAACGAGTACATTTCTATTGATTTCCACCAGTTTTCCAACTACAACAAGCAATATTTACCACAATTTAAATTGGCATATGAATGAGGCATCTTACTGGGGAATAACTGGATAAATACGAGGCTTCATAACGACTGAACTTACAGATCTGCATCCTTGTCCCAAGGTAACCAGTTGCCGTCCCCGTCCTAACATTCCAACGAAAGATGAACACCTAGGAAAGAAAACACAAAAGCTTACCAAGCATATTCAAATAAGAGGAAATCCAACATGCCCTATACAAGTCTGTTTGATAATTAAATCAAAAGACGTGATTATTATGTGAATCAAATAGAATTCTTGACTTTTCATGACCTTCTATATAACAATCACTTGTTAGAAATACAAACCTGTAAAATATGTTTTTTTTTATTTAATAAGAACCAAAAACAAATTTATTTATCCAAACTAAAATATAAATTTGAATATGTATTGCCTTTGAGAACATTCATGACATTGATATATTTTTGTTCAAGTACTTAATTCAGATATATAAGTTTTATATAAATAACCGTCTTATTTATTCTCGAAAGTCTTTCATTTTTCAATTACATTAATACAAATTAAAAAAATTAACAAGAAGATAAATTCTATCTGAGAAACTTCTTCCTTCTTACCCGCTGCCGTTTTCCAAGTGAATGTAGTTCCTTTCATTTCTTCGTGGCCTGAATTGGATACATGTGTATTTGTTCCAGTCATCCAAGGCCTGCTGTATGGCTCTGCGATCTGAGGCAGCTGGAAACATGAATCAGAAAATAAATATTTCTTTGAGTGAGTTTTCAATACATTTTTTTTTTTTTTGTGGCATTGCTTATTCTACATGCGAATGTAATGGAGCACCACGTAATGTAAAAACTGAAGGGGGTGAGGGTTGTTCCCTTACCCACCCCCTTCAGTTTTTACAAAAGAGGCTACACTGTATCCCACTTTCTCTTTTTCCGTCCAAGAAAAACAGCATGAGATCAGAACCAAAGACAAAAAACCCAACAAACTTGTTCATTCCTGTGTCCTAGGGATTATGTTAAAATTGACCACGTCTTCTTTTACTATTCTTATGACCCACCCACCAGACCCCCACCCCACCTATGTCAAAATCTTGAACCCCCCCCCGTTTCTAAATATATGTGCGTGCATCCACAGACGCGCTCGTCTGTTTTTAAATAATTTATGTATTTATTTATATACTTATTTATTATGTATTTATTATGTATTTTTTATATGCTTATACACTTATTTATCTATTGCGAGTGTTTTTTTTTAGATTTCAATTATTTTAACTTTTTTCATACAACTTGTACTTACACATCACCGAAGATATGGTGTACGGGACTACGCCATTTGGCCAGCGGCGTCCTAAATCTCTGACTCCTTTCCTTTTCTTGCGGGTACGTTCCCCTTCATAATTACCGTCCTTGTCCAGCAATCTTCAGATAAAATTTAAAATATGTTTCGTCAATCGATGACATACTGTAAGGGCATTTGTCTTAATACATCTTCACCTTTATTTTAGAAATTAACTCGCTTTTTGTTCTTGAGATATGACGTTTTGATTATTATAGTCAAGTAAAAAAACATATTTACATGTACTCTCTTTAGAAACAAACCACTATCACTACATATAAAATGTGTACATGCACATATAACTATGCCACTGTTCTTATTTTTATTTTATAGGAAAAGGAAATTATTCAGAAATAATCAAGAAGCAAACGTATCGTAAATATAGCATTTTAAAGTTTTAAAAAACGTATCATTTCAGTTAAAATGAATTTGGCATCCCATTCTTAGGCCATAACTTTCCCATTAACAAGGAAACATAAAAATCGCTTCTTTGGTTTACTTTTATACGCGCCTTATCAAGTTCTAATTGTCCTAAAATATGACGACCTTGCTTACCCAAACTCCTCCTCCCTGGCTCTTTCGAGGGCTTGAAAATCTTCTTTAAGCATTAATATATCCAGTTCACGTAGAACAACGCTGTCATCTTGTATAGTCTCCAGTGCTCTACCTAGTAAAATGTGAAAACGAAAATAAAAATTCACCATCGAGAAAGTTTTTTTTTCTGGTTCGAATAATTATTTTTCCGTGTTCTTTTTTCAGCTGGATGACGATGAATTTATCGCGGATTAAACACTGAATCATAATATAAGTACAATAGAAAAAAGTCAACTTATGTTTGACCAGGTTATAAATGTGGATTGAGAATACACTTTTCTCATATTGCAGGTTTTGAAATTTTACGTGCCCCTTGGTAAGGAACAAAGGAAATTATAAAAAGTTTATATTTACTTTTATTTGCTGCGATCTTGATTAGTTCATCCATCGTCGCTGCGTGTGACACATCTAAAAGCTGAAATATTTCCCAAAAGTATGTTTGAATCAAGCAGTTTCAAAAATTGAAATGGTACTATTTAACCTAGTCCTTTCCGTGCAAGCTAGATATTAAAAACGTTAACAACAGGTATCCATTATTTTGTTGGTGCATACACAGTAAACAATTATTAACCGGAAAGTTAAGCCAGTTTCACTACTTACCCATACTGCACAAACTGCCGCTGTCAGTGCTGCGGCGACAAATCTCGAAGATACAAACTGTACGTTTTTCATACTTCTGTTTTTTTACTAATGACTTGCCGGTTCTGAGATCTCTTTTATACATTTCGATTGCCCATTGCGATTTCCCTCTCTACTTGATCTAAACTTCCGCATTTCCGGGTTTTATTTGGTTCACTGATTATTTAGCTTCATCATCTCTATGACAAATGTAATAATTTGGTATTTTATTGAGTCAGACTAAGAATGAGATTTTTTATTTGAAAGTTCACAGTGCCCTAACAATGGGATGAACAAGCAGGGAGTTAATGCGTTTATCGCCCTTGGTCATCGATTTAGTCATGCAGACAAAACACGCATGTAAATAAACATTTTGACTGACCATAACGGAATGGTCGTCTTTATCACAAATCTAATAGTGTCCAAACACTGGGCCACCCAGCAGTAAATAAATGCGTTTATCGCCCTGGACATCGATTTAGTCATGCAGGCAAAACACACCTTAACAAATATTTAGACTGACCACAACGGAATGGTCGAGTCTGGGGCTTTAACTGGGTCACCCAAACTGGGTCACAGCGGGTAAACCCTGACGTCAATCGGGAGCAGGCCAGATTCATATCAATGATTTGACAAGGGATGTGGTCTGAGCCAAGGGATGTGGTCCGAACCCTCCCTGGACAAGAGGTTGTCTGCTTCGTAACAGTTTGGTCTCTAAATGATAAGACACTTATGAAGTAAAATGGAATCTGAGACATTGGTGGGCTTTTACAGGTACACGTATATGTACCGTATGTTACTCAGTTTCGTGAACGGAATTAAGTACATGTACAAACCCGTTTTTATGACATCAAATACGTCATATTGGCCATCGTTTAGCTTTCTTTTTTGTTCATTTTCTTTTTCTTCAAGGAGTCTTCAGTGACCATGCTGAGATAGCACATACATGTATGCAAGTTATGAAGCATTATATACGTTTGACCCTCTTTTAGAACATTTTCAGTGAGTATATTACTCGAAAAAATGATTTTGACCAGCGCAACACAAAGATATCAAAAATTGAACGCCTCTCCCATAAACCCAGACAAAAGGAAAGAAAGGGTGGGCTTAACAAGAACATCCAATGTCCGCTCTGAAGCCAACCATATATAAATACATACATACATGTAACACTTTTTATTGTTGTATACTTTGTCATATCAAACCCACTCCACCCCTTCCATCCCCCATCTTCTCAAATCATTTTTATGTCGTAAAAGGGAACCGAGGCTGTAGACTGAATCCAAAACGTTTATTCCACCTTAATGTGTATGATGAATCAAATGTCCAGTTTATTCACTTTGTTTTTCTTTCCTTTCGGTAGCCTTAATCACGCTGATATTGTGTCCGAGATTTCACGAAATGATAGGGAAAAGGAAATATTAATAATAGAGTCTCATGAACATGCACTGTCGGAGCAGCAATGGACAGGAAGATGACTTTTCGTGATTCATGTCGTTTTTCTCAGGTCGTTTCTTTATCAGTGTCCTATATTTATTACAATGCATCTGACCTGTAAATATAAACGAGAATCGTGGGCCAAGGCCAATACTTGGCGGGACAGGAGCAAATGCTTATGAGCAGTAATACTTTAGTACACCTGTAAGCAGGTTGTTTGTTTTTATTGTTGTACTCACACGTAAATCTATACGTTGACTGGAGAAAATGTAAGAGATTTCTGGTGGATTTTGAATAAGAAAAGGCCAAAGAGTTTTTCAAAGATTAAGAAACCTATGGGGAAAAATATGGGGAAGTAGAAAAATATCAGGTAATCAGAGATATTGGTCAGAAAATGGGACAAGACTGCAGTGACACGCAATTTATTGCGTTGTCTTTAAAATATGCTTAAAATATTAACTCGAGAGAGAGAGAGAGAGAGAGAGAGAGAGAGAGAGAGAGAGCGAAACAAACAAACGAAAATAATGTTTGTGAAAAACTACTCGTGCGTCTTCACATTTAAAACAATTTTATTAGCGTTGCCGTATCTCTGCTAGAAATCACAATCCGAAAGGCAATCACAGAAAATGACATGTTGTGTTGCCTCGCATGCGCATCAGAACAAAGGTACTGGTAGATCTCCTAACATTATATTAACAAGGTGGCCGAGACGGGCATCTGTTAAAGATGTTCGTCCCTTCGATAACCCAACACGTGGCTCGACCGGTGAACATTTCCTTTTGGTAGCGTGCAATGTGAAGATGAGTTCCGGTAGAGCACGGACGCACTCCGGGCGCGTGGTACATGACGATATAATCCGTGCTAATAATGCCACTCATTCTGAGACGATCATATACAACTTTGGGATCGAGGCCCGGTACAACGATGTCTGCCGCCTGACCAACTGCGTGCTAAAATGAAAGGAGGCTTAAACTCAGTAACAGTAGGATTAACTGAAAATAAAAAATATGTTTACGATCTAAGTCAAACGTTTTTGGTCAAGCTCGTTGGCAATACATCATTCCTCGGAGCATTTATTTTCAGTACTAGAGAAAATTGCAAAAAAAAAAAAAAAAAAAAAAAAGAAAGAAAGAAAAAAATCGCCAATTCTGGAACCAACACTGTATTTTACCTACAAAGAGCAAATACATATAATGGAATATATTTGTTAAACAATTTTAAATACTCGTTGTTCACATTGAAATGAACTCTTTTTTTTTTCGCGGGCGTACAAGTACATTGTACTTTAGAAGAACATCGACAACGGTCTGTCAAAGCTCATTTATGAGACACAAACGCCTATTGGTCGAGAAGGTATCGCGTGGAATGCTGTGTTTTAAATTACTTTTTTTTTTTCATTTGTGGCAAGTGAGATACAATTACTTTACAATACACACACACTGCTGTGGGTTGGGGGGGGGGGCGACTTATACCGCTGTATTTTGCATAATCCCGTTATCTGTGTCTGTCAATTGAGTCTGCAATTATTATAACAAAGTGAACAGTGTTGCACAACACCTTGACAACACGACCAGCTCCGCCATGAACACTGTTGACACTGGCAGGTTTGACACAGCTCACATGTATATCTAAAAGCTGCTTTACTGAAAAACACAGTGGAAATACCAAATACACTGTACCTATGAGCATTTTTGAGGTTTGCTTAAAGCAACCACTGTCTTATTGGGGATCAGAACTTGTACGTAGCCTACTATGCTTCCTTTTTTACATTATGTCAACTGTCGTTTACTCACGTGGGGGTCTCCGCCTTGACGCAATCCGCTGGTTACAGTGACGGACCCGAAGAAGTTGGCGATCTCCTGGAGTTTGTATCTGAGCGCATTGCTGTAGATCACCTGGTTCCCATAGTTCACTATACCCTGGGGTGGACCTGGGTATCAAACGTGTACTTTATGGTTAATACACCGGATGTGCGCATCGTGTAGTGCGCAAAAGTTAATTAGGGGTGGGTGGGTGCAGATAGAAGGGACAATGGTCTGCATGTTTTATGTAGGCCCTACCCGTATGAAGGCGCGATGCATGTTTTTGACTGGGAATGTACAGATTAAGTAAAGCCTACATGTATTTATCGACACTGAATCATCTAGTTGTATAGCCTGTATATTATACATGTAGCCTACATGTACTGAACACCTTCAACCACCGGTCATACTTTGTAGTTCATTTCCACCAAATGTCATTTTTTGTATACAATGTTCTTTTTTTTTGTTTTTTTTTTGGACCGCACAGCAGCGAGTATCTAAAGTTCTCAACCAAATACTGAATGCTCTTTTCACTAAATTATACAGCCAAATCGAAATTGTCCTAGAAATTTCAGAAGTTTCTCCTTTATCGCCAAAATATACCTTATTCATGCAAAACCGAATCCATACAAAAATTATCAATGAACAATGTAGTTCATTATCTCTAAAAACCTGCGTATTAATGATTGGTTTGCAAATTATAATTGACTTTTATTACTTTCATTTAAAAGCAACACGACTTAGACCTGCTACAGTATATATAGGTTTTAACATTATAAGTGAAATACCAAGAATATAAAATTGAAACAACGATGAAAACGCATCTAGTCTCACTAAATTCACATGTAATGTATACGATATACCAATTCTAAGTAAAGAATATTTATACGTATGATTATAAGTAACGAATAACGTCTACTTACGAAAATAGTAACTATGGGCCCCAAGACCTAGGCTCAGGAAAATTACAATAGCTACTTTCATCGTACCGTTTCAAAAGTCGTCTGCTTGCTGCTGGACAAAATAGGACAGTAATGTTTCGAATGACATAGCTGTATATTTATACACTTTTTTTAGAAATTAAACAAGTGTCATGGATGTTAATAAGTACACATTAACCAATTGGGACAAAATGCTGTCCTCTTAATCCGAAAACCCAAATAAAAAAGTAGACCATTTTAAATAGCAGAGGATATTAATATGGACCAAATGGGTAAAACGCCTGCCATTTTGATGTTAATATAGTGATCTCTAACAGCGGTTTCATATTTTAAGGTATCATTATATAGATTCCCTAAAACTAATACATAATTGAAATAGTTTAATGGTTTAGATCATCGATGTATTGGCATGCCGCTACTTGTTTGGCATTTTTCTCTGATCACATTCGGTTCACCGCAACGTTATCCATTAGCACTTTATATGGGGTAACGAATCCAAAAACCCTGTGACATACATATCATGCCTATTAAAGAATGACATTTATTTAGTTGATCGCAAATTAAATTGAATGTTCAACGGAAAGTACAAGCTACCTCGTGGTGCCTTCAGTTCTGCACCCATTGACCTCTGGCACCTCACCTTAGGTTTTCAACAACCCCCCCACACACACGCCCTGCCGCCCCACCACAACCAGCCCACCCACCCACATTTGCTCCCCCCCCCCAACGCCTGTGCTATTGACATTAATATCCGTAGGGGGATTGCGTTGGAGGTCTCGGTTCAACCTAGGATCCAAAATAAAGAGGATAAGACAGTGGCTCAAACTTCAAAGGGAGTCTCCCGCGGCGCGTGTCTCATGATGCCTTCGGGTTGGTACGGCGAGCCTCGTTTTCAAATGACCAGGTAGCTTGTCTACGGCAGAGTGAAACGAAGGTCCCACTTTAGTCGCGTTTTTTTCATTGTATCCGGAGAATTTCGTCAAAAGACAAGAGGAGCTGATTAAGGAATATGCAGTGAAGCACCGTGAGTATTTATATTGCAGTTTGTAGCTTCAATAGACAGTAATATCAATTTCAATATCCCCGTCCGTTAGATTTGCAAAGATGGCGGGCAAATTTACACTGCCGTGCATGTTTACGCTCTCGTTGTTATTTGGCGGATGCACTTTCCGAATATTTGTCAATGCAGAGTTATTCGGAGTACAGTTTTGATATGGCAACACCTTGTAATGTGGGAAACGAAATAAGTTGGATTGTAAAAAGAGCGTAGAAATAGTGCCCCCAACGCCAATAATGGCGGAGCGATAGTTCTGGGAGGTAGTTTACCTATACAAAAAAACTTTACATGGGACTGGCTTGCTAATTTTAAACCCACATCTATATTGTACGTTTTATAACAAAAGACGTTACGATGGATATTAGTGGATTAGAGTTTTTATTCCAGAGATATCAAGGACTTAAATTGCCTAATCACTCTAAATTCAACATGGCCGAACGATGTAACGCCGCGGGCCCCTTCTTTTAGATACAAATGCACACAATTATAACTGATATGTCTCATTTTAAACCTGCATCTATATTGTATGTTTTGGGACAAAAGACGTTACGATGGATATTAGTGGATTAGAGTTTTTATTCCAGAGATATCAAGGACTTAAATTGCCTAATCACTCTAAATTCAACATGGCCGAACGATGTAACGCCGCGGACCCCTTCTTTTAGATACAAATGCACACAAATATAACTGATATGTCTCATTTTAAACCTGCATCTATATTGTATGTTTTGGGACAAAAGACGTTACGATGGATATTAGTGGATTAGAGTTTTTATTCCAGAGATATCAAGGACTTAAATTGCCTAATCACTCTAAT